GCTTAAGGTTTTTATCTAGAAACAAACACAGAAGGAATAACGGCTTATTAGATGAATTTCATTATAACAAAAAATATGGTTATTATTATGTGCGTTAGTAGGTGGATAATTATCTATACACGTGGCAGTTGGAAATGCTGGTTTTCAGCAAGTGATTATAAGTTTCGAGCGTTGGCAGTGTTTCTGCGGTATTTTGTCTTGAATTAAATCTTTTTACTAAGCTCTGCAAAAAAAATGCACCTTCAAAATAGAAAGTGCATAATATCTAATAAGCTGCTTGATTTCAAGGTGTATGCATTTATTTACTAGCTAACACCTCCAATAACTCCTTAGTTTTTGCTTTTAACATATCTTTGTTACTTCTAGTTTCAACATTAAGCCTTACTAATGGTTCAGTGTTTGACATTCGTAAATTAAACCGCCAATCGTTAAATTCTAAACTGATGCCATCGGTGTTATCAACTACTAAGGCGGTGTTTTGATAAACAGTTAAGATGTTTTTAATTGCTGTTTTGGGTTCTGCTAATTCAAAATTTATTTCTCCTGAAACAGGGTGAGCATTTATACGATTATTAATTATAGTAGACAATTTTTTATTAGTGGCACAAACTAATTGTAATACAATTAACCAAGGTATCATGCCGCTATCGCAATAACAAAAATCACGAAAATAATGATGGCCACTCATTTCGCCGCCATAAATAGCATTCTCTTGTCGCATACGTTGTTTAATAAATACATGCCCAGTTTTTGCCATAATTGGTTTGCCACCATATGCTTTTATGATATCAATAGTATTCCATTGCAAGCGTGGATCATGAATTATTTTAGCATTTGGTTGCTGTTGTAAAAAATATTTAGCTAATAATCCAACTATATAATAGCTTTCAATATAGTTTCCGGTTTCATCGAAAAAAAAGCAACGGTCAAAATCGCCATCCCAGGCTATGCCCATATCTGCTTTGTGTTTCATAACTGCATTTGCAGTATCAGCTCGATTTTCTAGTAATAACGGATTAGGTATACCATTAGGAAACATACCATCTGGCTGATGATTAATTTTAATAAATTCTACAGGAACATGTTGTTGTTTAAATCTTTTTTCTATAGCATCAATAACATGACCAGCAGCACCATTGCCAGCATTTACCACTAACTTGATTGGCGTTAATTTAGCAAGACTAATATAACTTAATAAATGATCAACATAAGCAACTAAATTAGTTTGTTGTTTATAGATTCCAAGTTTTTTAACGGTATTTAAAATAAATTTATTTTGTTCAGCTAATTGTTTAATTGCTAAAAGATCAGGATTAGCATTGATAGGTTTTGCATCTTTAGTAACTAATTTCATACCATTGTAATTTATAGGGTTATGACTAGCTGTTATTTCGATACCACCATCGGCATTAAGGTTTTTAGTGGCAAAATAAACTTGTTCAGAACCTGTGGTACCAATATCAATAACATCAACACCGCTAGCTATTAAGCCATTAGTTACAGCTTGTTTTAATTCTGCTGAACTTAAACGTACATCAGCCCCAACTATAACTATTTTTGGTTGTAGGTATTCGGCAAATGCTTGAGCTATTCTATAAGCAATTTCTGCGTTTAATTCGTCACCAAGCTTACCGCGGATATCATAGGTTTTAAAGCAAGTCAGTTGTTGGTTGTTTGACATGTTCATACTCTTTTAGGCGAATAGTATCTTGTAGCTCAATATCATCTCCACAAAATATTTCAATAATTTTAAGTGGTGTTGCTTCATAATTTTCTATAGCATTAGCTGTATTTGCCAGTATATGAATAGATTTATTGGTTTGCAGATATATTGTTTTATTGTTATCTAGATGTATTATTGCTGTTCCTGTTACTACTAATAAATTTTTTGCTAATTTTTGGTTGCATTGAGTAGCTGTTTTTTCATAGGGTTTTAAGGTTAATAACCTAACCTGAAAACCTTCGCCTTTAACTAAAGAATAATGATTACCCCAAGGCTGGTAAGTTTTTTGGTGCTGCAAATAACTGTTTTCTTTATTATTTTGTAATTTATTAACAATATTTTTTACTTGTTGGTCTTTATCTTTATGCATTACTAAAATAGCATCTGCAGTTTCAATAATAATCATGTTATCTACACCTACAGTTGCTATTAATTTATTTTGTGCATAGATATAACTATTTTTAGTGTCTTCTAATAATACCTTGCCACAAACAGCATTATTGGTTTTATCTTTATCGCTAACCTCCCAAATAGAAGACCAAGAACCGATATCTTGCCAAGATAAATCCATTGGTGCAACTAAAGCATTGTTAGTATGCTCCATTACTGCATAATCAATAGAATCTTGCGGACATTTACAAAAAGCAGTTACATCCAAGCGTAGAAAATCTAAATCAGCATAAGCTCCGCGCATGGCTTGAGTGCAACAAGCTAAAATATCAGGTTGATACTTTGCTAATTCAGCTAAATAGCTAGATGCTTGCATTAAAAAAATACCGCTATTCCATAAATATTTACCAGAAGCTAAAAACTTTTTTGCTAAGGTTAAATTAGGTTTTTCAATAAAAGATTCTATATTGAATATATTTTGTGTGACTTTTTTACCTTGCTTAATATAACCATAACCAGTTTCTGCTTTATTAGGAACTATACCAAAAGTTATTAGTTTGCCTTGCTTAGCATATTTTGTAACTGATTGAATAATTTCACAAAATTTAGCTGCATTTTTAATTAGATGATCAGCAGGTAATACTAATAATAAATCATCCGTGTTATTAACTGCATGCAGTGCTGCAAGTGCTATGGCCGGTGCAGTATTACGGCTAATAGGTTCTAAAATTATGGCATCGGGTTCAATACATTGTTGACGTAACTGTTCTGCCACAATAAATCTATGTGCCTGATTACAAACAATAATAGGCGGTTTACAAGCTAAACCATTTACCATGCTAATAGTATTTTGTAACATAGTAGTGTTATCTATTAATGGGATAAATTGTTTTGGATACAACCTACGAGATAACGGCCATAATCTTGTGCCACTACCACCTGCAATAACAACCGGAATAATCATATAACAACCTGTGATTATAAAATAAACTTTTATTTGACCTTTTATGTATAATATAATAGTTTATGATTAATATAAATAAAAATAATTAACGACACTTAATTTTAATTAAAAACTAAATTTTTTAGTAACTGGTAAAGCAGATGATTTATTATTTAGTTCAAGGTGAAGCATATCAATACCCAGATCGAATGGCTGAAATGGCTAATTCAGGTGCAGAAGTTATATTTTTAACTTGGGATAAACAAATAGATGGTGCTTTATTTTTACCAAACTCCACTTGTTTTCAAGGATATAATTTTTTATTACAACATGTATTAAAAAATAATTATAATTTTGAATTCTTAGTATTTATCAATGGCGATGCTAAACCTATTAAAGGTAGCTGGAGTGAATTTAATACTTTTTTGCTTAAACGTAAGCCACAAGTATGCTTGCCGTTAATGCAAGTAACTCAAGAGTTATTACACAAACAGCTTAAACGATTGCATCTTACTGTTTTAATACCTGAATATCAAAAATCATTATTACTTGATACTCAAGTAGTAGCTTATCGAAAAGATGTAATTAATGCTATTAAAACATTTATTTACCCAACAGTCTTTGATTATGTATCTTGGAATTTTAACTGTATACTTACTCAACATATATTAAGATATATTATTCCGTATAATATAATACAATTTAATAAGTTAGAAATAGAAAATAATAGTCATAGGCAGTATCAAAAGAGTAAGAACATTCAATATCTTGCTAGCTATATAAGCAAACTTGGTCTTAGCTCATTATTACCTTTTTTTCAGTTTAAAATTATTAGCAATATTCATATTGGTAGATTAATTATATTGCTAAATTCATTCATTGAATTATTTTATTTAATACCTTTACCTATTAAAGAATTTGATGTAGCTATGCGTGCTGAGCATGTAAAACAATGTTTGCACAAGATGGAAACCATAGATATTCCAAAAAACAAAAAAGCTGAGGATTGTATTAACACATGAAAACTGCACTTATTACTGGTATTAATGGTCAAGATGGCTCTTACTTAGCGGAATTTTTATTAGTTAAGGGCTATAAAGTACATGGTTTAATTCGTTATTCTTCTTCTAGTAATACTGAAAAAATAAATCATCTTATTAAGAATAATAATTTACATCTTCATTATGGAGATTTAACCGATTCTAAAAAGCTAATTAGTTTAGTTAAAGTAATCGAACCTGATGAAATATATAATCTTGCTGCCATGTCTCATGTAGCTATTTCATTTGATATTGCCGAATATAGTGCAAATGTTAATGCTCTTGGTGCTTTACGTTTATTAGAAGCAATTCGTATTAATAATCTTGAACAAAAAACTAGATTTTATCAAGCATCTACTTCTGAATTATTTGGTAAATCTCCAGCACCACAAAATGAAAAAACCTCCTTTATACCAAGGTCGCCATATGCTGTAGCTAAAGCCTATGCTTATTGGATTACTGTAAATTATCGAGAAGCTTATGGTATTTATGCTTGTAATGGTATTTTATTTAATCATGAATCGCCACGTAGAAGTGAAACTTTTGTAACTCGCAAAATAACTCTTGGGATTGCGAATATTGTTTATGGATTAAAAAAATGCTTGTATCTCGGTAATTTAAATGCTGTTCGAGATTGGGGACATGCTAAGGACTATGTGCGTATGCAATGGCTTATGTTACAGCAACAACAAGCAGATGATTTTGTTATAGCTACTGGTAAACAGCTTACAGTACGTGACTTTATAATCATAGCTGCCAATCAAGTAGGTCTCGAGATTAAATTCAAGAATCAAGGCATTGATGAAATAGCCACGGTTGTTAAGGTTGATAATAATTTAGCTCCTGCGGTTAAAGTAGGAGATGTTATAATTAGAGTTAGCAATAAATACTTCCGACCTACTGAGGTTGAAAACCTTTTAGGAGATGCAACTAAAGCAAAAACCACATTAAACTGGCAGGCAAAATTTAACGCTGTTGATTTATGTCGAGAAATGCTTAATCAGGATTTAAAACAAGCAAAATTAGTAAAACAAGCACAACTAAAGAATACCCAAATAGCAACTAAAGCAGAGTTCTTATGAAACTATTTATAACTGGCGGTACAGGCATGATAGGTCGTAATCTTTGTAACTTAGCTAATAAGCGAGGTTATAAGGTTATTGCCCCTACTAGAGAAGAGTTAAACTTAACCAATTTAACCTCTATTGTCGTTTATTTGCAAAAAACTAAACCAGATATTGTAATTCATTGTGCTGGTTTAGTTGGAGGAATTAAAGCAAGTATGGAAGCTCAATATGATTTTTGTTATCAAAATTTATTGTTGGGAATGAATGTTATTCAGGCAACATATCAATCTGGAATTAATAAATTAATAAATTTGGGTAGCAGTTGCATTTATCCAAAATGCGTTGATAACCCCATAACTGAATCACAAATATTGCAAGGACAGCCAGAATTAACCTGTGAAGGTTATGCTATAGCTAAAAACGCTGTGGCATGTTTAGCTAAATATTTATCATGGGAGCATGGTTTAAAGTGTAAAACAATAATGCCAAGCAATGTATATGGTTATTGGGAGAGGTATGATATAAATAAAAGCCATATGATTTCCTCGGTAATAAGAAAAATTAATTATGCAATAGAAAATAAGCACCCCAATGTTGTTATTTGGGGAGATGGAACCGTGCGTCGTGAATCTATATTTGCTGAAGATTTAGCTGATTTTATTATATTTACGTTACAAAATTTTTCTAGTATTCCTAATATAATAAATGTAGGTTCTGGGGTTGATTATACTATTAATCAGTATTATCAAATTATAGCTAAGGTATTAAATTATAAAGGAACATTTAGCCATGATTTAACAAAACCAGTTGGTGTGCAACAGAAATTATTAGATATTAGTAAACTTAAAGCACTAGGTTGGCAACCTAAAACTAGCTTAGAAGATGGTATTCGCAAAGCGTATAAATTTTATGTAAAGAGCATAACACAAACTCAATCACATGAAGAATTAATATAATGTATTATTTAATAGTAGTATTAATATGAATACTAATTTACGTAAAAAAATAAAATATATGGATGGTAAATTTTTTAATGGGCAATTAAAAAATTTAAATCGTATACGCTGGCAATATCAATCTTATTTTACTCGCAAACTATTTGTAGGATATTGGTTACAAAAACTATATACAAAAAAAATTGCAACTAAATTTACTAGTAAAATTAATATTAAATTTAATCCAAGGAAGCAATCTTTTTTAGGAGAATTATTAGATAAATATGGTTCTGGTAAATGTCATTGTCCTAGCGACAAGTATCACTGCATCAGAGTAGGATGTTATCATCATATTTATAATTTATTATTCTGTTTATCTAAAAATAAAGTGAAAATATTATTAGAATGTGGTATTGGTAGCAAGAAAGCATCTATACCCTATAATATGGGTAGCGGCGAAAGTATCCCAGGTGGTAGCTTGCGTGCATATAGTGATTACTTTCCTAATGCACAAATTATTGGTCTAGATATCGACCCTGATGTAATGTTTACTGAAAATAGAATTAGTACTTTTGAATGTGATCAAACTTCAAAAACAAGCATTGATAAATTCGTCACTCAAGCAAATCTGCAACCTAATACTATAGATATTATTATTGATGATGGCATGCATGAATTTGCACCTAATATTACTTTATTTGAAAATACTAAACACTTGCTTAAAGATAATGGTATTTATATTATTGAAGATTTATTGTTCGTAAATAGAGAGCATCAAAAATTCACTAATTATTTTAGCAATTTAACCAATTATGATTCCTATTTTATTAAATTTATAGATCGTTATTTACTTATTATTGTTAAAAATTAATTTCTAAATCAAGTAAAGAGATAATTTTAAAATCATGCAATCTTCTCACATATTAGATAATGATAATATGCCTTTTGTATCTGTTGCTGTATATAAAAAAGGTGTTTCTAACCACTGCTTTAATCAAATAAATAAATTGTATCCAAATAGTAGTATTTATATTATTTGTCCTAAATGTGATATAAATAAATTTGAGTTATTAGATCTAAAAAATACTTTAGTTATTGATGAAAATGACTTGATAGAAAACATAAATAAAGAATATGTATTTAAGTTGATGAATTTTAATTATTGTAAAAAATCACACGATCATAGTAAAAGAAATTGGTATTGGCAACAAATATTAAAACTTTGTTGTTGTTTTAATGCGATAATACCAAACAAATATATAATTATAGATTCAGATTTCATTATATTAAGCAAAATTAAATTTTATAACAATAAAGCGATTTTTAATAAATCATTAATTAGCATAGAATGGGATCAACTTTATATTGAAAAGTTTATTAAATATGCTGTAGGTATCGATACGGTTAAACATGGTTATATTTCTGAATATATGTTATTTGAAAAAAATTATGTTAAAGAAATGTTAAGTGTATTTGGACGATCTTTACCTGATATTATTCATAACTTAATGGATATACTATCAAATAATGATGCATATGATTTAGCTGAATATGCATGGTATGCAAATTTTATGTTTAAAAATTATCCTAATAAGGTAACAACTCAATCTATATATTATTATCGTTTAGTACATAAGTATTATGGTCATAGTATAAGAAAATATGAGCTTGCAATATTTAAAAAAATATGGAAGCTAGATGCAGTTTGCGTAGAGTCATTATGGGGAAACGATCGTTTTCTAATTACACCAATATACAAATTTATTTCTTATCTACGATACAAATTTAATTATTATGGTAGGCTTCCTTTCTCTGTTATTCCTAAGAAAGATCCTGCTTGGGTTTATAATATAGCGGAAAACCCTTTAAACCCGTTAATGCTTAAAATATATCTAAAGCTAGTTAAAATCTATCAAAAGTATCCCTTAATACGTAAAATATATAGAAGAATAAGAAGCCAATTTTGTAGTAAATAAATCTAGTACATAGTCCGGTAATAAATATTGAAATCATTAATTTATATAAACCTTATTTATCTAGATCCATACGGTTTAAATAATACCAATTTAAGTGTGTTTGTACCATTTGATAGAATAACAATAAAAATATAATTTTAAAAACATATCGCATTATTAATATAAGACTCCTAGGAGGTAATCTATATGCTCGGCGTTATTATTTTTCTAATGCACAAATTATTGGTATTTATCTTATATTTACTGAAAATAAATTTAAAAGAACCTAATTTTATATTTATGATAAAAAATAAATTAAAAAAATAATTATAAATACAAAGTAAGTATAATAGTACCATGCTATAATACTAAACCATGACTAGATGAATGCTTGTAACTTTTAGCAGATTAAATAGTTTGCATCACTAAAGATATCCTAGTATAAATATACCTAAAGCAATCAAAATTATTTATTATATATTTTCTTACATGATATAAGTTAAAACAAATATTTGCTTTATAAACTTAAGAAGTAATACTATGAATACAACTTTACGTAAAACCATTAAAACTATCGATCGCCATTTGTTTTCTGGAATATTCAGAAAGTTAAATCTAAAATATAAAAGACACTCATATACCAATAAAATGCATTCTATATTTCAATATAATAATAATGTATGTATCACTAGTAAACAACAAAACTATTTAGGTGAATTATTTGATAGATATGGTTCAGATAAAGGTTAGGGTTTATTTGATAAAACTCGAGAATCACCAGCACTCCATTATAATGATATTTATGAATTGATGTTTTTCCAACATAAATATCAAACTAAATTAATATTGGAATGCGGTATTGGTGGTAAAAGTAAAAATACATTTCCGAATATGGCACATCATAAATATAGCATTCCAGGAGGCAGTTTACGTGCATGGCGTAGTTATTTCCCTAACGCACAGGTTGTTGGGATTGATATTGATCCTGACACTATCTTTACTGAAGATAGAATTAATACCTATGTATGCGATCAAACTAAAGCAGAAAGTATTAAAAAATTTATTAACCAAGCAAATTTACAAGCTAATACAGTAGATATTATTATAGACGATGGCTTGCATGAATTTAATGCTAATATAACCTTATTTGAAAATACTAAACAACTGCTTAAAAATAATGGTATTTATGTTATTGAAGATTTTTGGATAATAAACCAAGAACAACAGAAGTTTATTGATTATTTTAGCAAACTAGATAGCTACAATGTTGTCTTTATTAAAATGTCTATATCTTACTTAATTGTGATTACAAAAAATGACTAATAAATTCAATTGTTAGTTAGGTTTAACTATGTCAATACATGAACAAACTAAAATATCTAATTTAAGCAATACTAAAGAAAATTATACATATAAAGTAAGTGTAATAGTACCATGCTATAACACCAAACCATGGCTAGATGAATGTTTGCAATCTTTAATAGATCAAACCTTACAAGATATAGAAATAATTTGTATAAACGATGGTTCCACTGATGGTACAGGTGCAAGGTTAGACGAATGGCAAACACAATACCCCAATAAAATAAAAGTAATTCATCAAGCTAATAGTGGTCCAGCTAATACACGCAATGCTGGTATGGCAATAGCACAAGGTGAGTGTATTGGTTTTGTTGACTCTGATGATTTTGTTGATATCTGTATGTATGAAAAACTTTATAAAGTATTAAAAGATAATGATGCGGATATTGTTAAGTGTGATTATTTACAGTTTACCCAAAAAAAACAAATAAAATGTAGTATAAAAAAAACAACGGTAAGAAAAATAAACTCCATAACAAGTATATATAATAATATTATGTTATTAGTGTCTAATTTATATATAAAAAAATTCTTACAACAACATAAAATAAAATTTGAAGAAAATATCTTTTTAGGCGAGGATTATCTATTTTCTTGTAAATTAGCAACATGTATGCCTAAATTATATAAAATAGAAAATCAACTTTATTTTTATAGGCAACAACGTAAAGAACAACTAACATCTTACAATGAAAAAAAGTTATATGATGTAATTAAAATTTTTACATATTTACAACATGAACTTTATACTTCTAAGATAAATAATATCACACTCATAAAAAATCTCATAATTAAAAAACAGTTAATCATGCTTGCTATATCTTTATGGAATATCCAGTATAAATACAAAAAAGATTTTTTATTTAAAGCAAGTAATTTAATTTTTAATAATAATAAAACAAGTTATATTTATAAAACTATGTTGTTTGCAAAGTATAAAAACCCTGTTAATTATTTATTTGCTCCCATGGCGGTTATTTTATTCCATAGCTGTTATTTATGGCAAAACATATCGCTTAAAAATATAAAAAACTATTTTATTAATAAATTTAATTAGATAATTCTTCAAATAGTTGTTGCCATTTACTAGCAATCTTTTCAATACTAAAGCGTTTCCGTGTTTCTATTGCTTTTAGTGCAAACTTCTGGCATAATTCTTTATTAGACATCAGCATATCTAATGATTTATATAATTTATCTGTATTGCCATCTTCTACTAATAAACCATCTACTCCATGGGTAATAATATCAGCTGGTCCTGACTTACAATCAAAACTAACAGCAGGCAAGCCATAAGCCATTGCTTCAACTAAAGCACAGCCAAAACCTTCGTAGCGTGAAGAGAAAACAAATATATCTGATGCTTGATACCAATCTGCTAAATTACCTATTGCCCCAGATAAAAAAATTTTATTTTTTAGTTCTAATTGATTAATTTGCTGTTCTAATTTTAGTCTCTCTTCACCTTCACCTAAAATCACTAATTGCCAATTATTATATTTTTTTGCGAGATTAGCAAAGACGTTAATTAATAAATCAAAGCCTTTTACATGACACAACCTACCTACTGCAAGAAGTGTATATTTATTTTTAATTATACATGTATGTGGTTCTATAATAGGATTTTTTTTTATTAAAGGATAACTAATAGGGTTTGCTATAACCTGTAACTTTTTTAAATTAAAATGTT